TTTAATACGTAAAAAATTTAAAAAATAAAAGGGGTTTTATTAAAGATATGCCTATTTAAAGGGAGTGTGGATGAATTTTTAAAAAAATATTTCATTGCCAATTTAGTAAAATTGTATTTTAATTAACCCTCTTAATCTGATAGGGGGTGTTAGTAAAACTTTAAAAAATAGAGGGGTATTTTTTAAGATATATAAACTACAAGAAATGTGACTAAAATTTTCTAAAAAAAAAAAAGAGGATTGAGGGTAGGAGCTCAAGTAAAACTAGCATCAAAGCCTGTCCCAACTCTTAACAGTCCAATGGCCCACGCTAGCACCAACACGGCCCCCAGGCCGGCCCATTTTCTCGTAACTCCATTGGGGTCGAAATCAACTTTGCCTACTTAAGTTTCATCAACAAATTAAGGTGGGGCCCAATAAATGAGGGTCCCATTATGCATTGCACGTGCCACATGTGCAATCACAAGCATTTGATTCCCTCCTCCGTCCCAACTCTCAATCATGCAATACAATTCTGGGTCTCTCTCTCTCTCTCTCTCTCTCTCTACACAATCATGCAATACAACTCTGGGTTGGGTGTGTCTCTCTGGATAGACCCATGTGGAGGCACGTACTGCTCCATCTCATCTCTTCCAATGTTTATCGATATAAAAATTCATACAGTGATGTGTATATATATGTATAATATACATGAATTATTTCATAATAATTTTGATATATTTCTCTCTCCTCTCTAATGGTGGAGGAGGAGAGGGAACCTTCCTAAGGAAGCTGCGGCTTCACATGGCCTCCAGCAACTTCAGCAGCAGGTATTGACACAGCACTCCATTTTTAAATTAAGCCCATGCCCACATGTTTGCATGTGAAATTGGGCAGTTTATTCTGTTAAAAAATGTATTTTGATGCATTGAGGAATGGCGGTTGGTGTCCTAAGACCATGATTGAACATGTCCGTGACCACCCTTCCCATTTCCTCCTGTTTCCCCTCTGTTCAATTATTTATCGGAAAAATTACAGTCACACCCTTTTTAATTTATTGAAATTATGTATCATAAACTTTTGCATCAGTTTAGTAGTCGAAAAAAGAATAAGTCGTAAACCTACGGGTAACTCAGGTAGGAATAGGGATGATCCGTAAATTCAAACATCTTGAAGTTGAATCTTGGCAATATCTTAGCCCAAGAAATTTATCCTCTTGAATATAGTAGTCTAGGTGCGAGTGGTCCGCTTTTTATCGGAATAGAGAGATTAGTCGAGGTGCACATAAGTTACCTGACCTAGCCGTTGAACCCAAAATATATATATATATTGATTGAAACTAAGTTCCATGGTAGCTATATGTATATTGTAGGAAACCAATAAAACTACAAAAATAGTTCTACTTCTACCTAGAATCAACAACACTTATTTACCCCCCAAAAAAGAATGGATACTCTAACCACCAAAAATAGGGGAAAAGAATTACACATGTAACCAAGTCATTTTTATTTTATAGTAAATTTAGTTTAGCAATAGTTTAAATGAGTAACCCTTCATTACAAGGGAATTCTTGTGGATGAATCAGTTTGTTTCAATAAAAGTGGAAAACTTGAGTCATCTTGTTTGTTTTCTTTGTCTTGTTTGCCTGCAACAGGGAAGATTCTCTCTGGTTCCCACTGAATCATCTTAGAATTGTAAGGATTATTTCTTGATTTGTGCGTGTCATCCTTGGGGGTCATTTTTCTATATCATTCCAATTTTATTGGATGAACCTCGAAGGACATCTTAGAACAGTAGGGCCTTGATGAATGACTAACCTTTCCTTGGTTTGAAGATAATTAGTTAGCAAACATGAAAAAACAAAAAGACTAAATATTTGTATTTTAAGTCTGGGCTTCAACTATTTTTATACAGAGACAATGCAGACCTCTGGATCAATCTGTATTGCAATTTCCTTCTTTGGGTTCTATTTTTCTAGGGGAAAGGGTGAACTTGAGAGGGAAAATACTAATACTGTTTTGATTTGACTACTTCTGATGAACTTTGTTGTTTT